AAAGCGATAGAGAAAAATGTGTTAGAATAGACCTTCAGGTTATAACGAGATCTATAAGAGAAATATTGTTGTTTCAGGGAGTATTCATTTTTGGACGGATGCTTGTAAATAAAAAAAATAAAAAAAATAGATGTAGTTTAAAGTCATAGGGAAGTCATGTTTAAATGTCAATAAATTCTAGCTTTAGCATGTATATAAATGTACTCCTTATCAGACTACATTGTCCCAAAAGTTAGAAAATTTCTATTAATAAAAAAATCGTGTTATTTTTTTCATTATTTTATGCAGGCCAGTTAATTATACGTAAATATACATAATTTACATAATATATATAATATTCATAAATTCGTCCAATCCTATCAACGATCATCTGTCAATGTAATTTTTCCGGTCATAGCATCTTGACTCATATTTCGCAGCTGATATACACAACAGTTGAAATAAGAATAATTTATTTTACCATTAAGTCCCAGTGTTTGATACCTGGATCGGATATCGACTCCAATATTGAAATTCTCATCAAAATCAGGGCCAAATGGGTATTTTAGTTGATTCCTTTACAAGTCTGGTTAATTTTCATCAATTCTGCTTCATGAGCAGCAGAAAACCAATGGTTATCACTGTTCTACATAGAACGTTGTTTACCCACCCCCCTCCTGGGGGTACCTGGCTTAACTGCATATTGGACCTGCCCAGTTAACAACACACCTACTTTCTCTTATCAGAGAAGGCGGGCATACACTGTATGAATTTTTGGCCTTTTCGGGCTCATTCTCCTTTTAATGAGAGATTTTTTTGCTTCTTTTTTTTTTGGTTTAGCCTCAGCATGTGTCGTGTAACATACAGCAGGTAACGAGGGGCAATTAGCCTCTCACGACCACCTCAAACATGTTTGAATTTCATTCGGCCCTCGTGAGATATTTGTTAGCAAATCCAGCTGTTGAAGCAAAGCTGTGAGCTTTATTTAGCAGAACCTCGCGCTCTGCACATGTAAAAGCAGGGAGAATTTTTCTGCTTCTTCTAGACTGACGAGTCTGACCCAGAGCCATCTCTCTGGGCTGAGTCTGACATGTGGGTTTTGGACGTACAGTGTTACATCGTATCAGAACATCGGGCCGTATCTAACATACGACCCGATGTTCTGATACGCTGTGAGCTGTGAACTTTTAAACCCTGTGGTTTCATTATACAGTTTAAGCTGGAGAAAAGTTAGAAAATATGGTACCATGTATGTCTGCGCTAAGCAATGTGAGGCAGAAAGCAAATGTTTCTGCACAAAGCTGAGACTAAGTGGCTCTTTTATCAGCTAATCTGCACAGTGACAGCAACTGTTCTTTTTTAAATTGTAAAAAATTGACTGTGAGGGGTCTCTGACTTTATTCAGCCTTCCTAAAGAGAAGCGGCGTGATACCGTAAGTGACACCTTGAAACGAGCGGCAACCACATGGGTTTGCCATGTCGTAGAGAAGGCGCTTCTTTCTTCTAGGTTGGAAAAGTAACAC